TCTACCTAGTGTGATAGCGTACCTAGTGCGGTACAGTATCATAGTCTACCTAGTGTGATAGCGTACCTAGTGCGGTACAGTATCATAGTCTACCTAGTGTGATAGCGTACCTAGTGCGGTACAGTATCATAGTCTACCTAGTGTGATAGCGTACCTAGTGCGGTACAGTATCATAGTCTACCTAGTGTGATAGCGTACCTAGTGCGGTACAGTATCATAGTCTACCTAGTGTGATAGCGTACCTAGTGCGGTACAGTATTATTGTCTACCTAGTGCAATAGTGTAGCTAGTGCGGTACAGTATCATAGTGAATTTCTTATTTGAATTTCAGCCGACATTGTGTTCATAGTAAAAGACAAACCACATCCAATATTCAAACGTGACGATGATAACCTTATTTATACTGCCACAGTTCCACTAGGACAGGTAAGGGGATTCTGTGAATGGGTATTTTCTTAATAGAACTCAGTGGTTATGCTTGAGTTTATTCAATAAACCAGTGGAAATAGATAAATAATATATTTTATACATAACAACAAAGAGGCAAGATTTGCTGTTACTACGAGTTTTGTGCTTATACTTTCATCAGACAGTATTTTACCTCTCTTCGTTATTATATATTATAATATATACTTAGCTCTCCACTTTATGTGTATTAAGCACTCTTTAATGGGATTAGCTACTTCCTCATATAATTGAATAATATATTACTTTCATTGGGTTGATTGTCAATTTTTACTGCTAAATATTYCATGCTTAATATTTCCCCTTTACTTTTTTCCAGGCATTAACAGGTTGTGTGGTAGATGTACCAACACTGGACGGCAGACTGATCAGCATTCCCATCAAYGACATTGTCAAGTAAGGAGAATTAGAGCATRATAAGTCTCAGGGTCTGGGCTACCTGTGTAAGACTCTGTCATAAGTRTAGGGGACTGGAACTAGCATGTTGTCAAATTTTACTTTAGCTTTCTGTTATTCATATAGTCAGCTTACTTATATGGTATATTTATGACKTTTTAGGCCAGGATACCAGAAAGTTGTGACAGAAGAAGGCATGCCGTTATCCAAGACGCCACAACAGAAGGGAGACCTTATAATACAGTTTGATATTCGATAYCCTGACCATCTTAGTCCAGAACAAAAACGATTATTAAAAGAAGCCTTACTGTAATCTTTTCTTATGAAAATTTGAAATTAGAAGTCTGTACAGATTAATTTTTACACTTGAACATTGTATATATAATATTGTGAATGTTGAGATTGTGTTAATTGATGGTAATAAAATGTCCTGATTCAAGTATTTTGTTCTTACTTTACTGAAAGCATCATTAGAGCACTGTCTCTATTGCAGTCTAATAATAAAGGCRGACATAAATTGATCCTAATAATAGTTTAATAAATTATATGTATGTGTATAGTATGCTAAATTCATCATTTGCAAATATTAATATTGCACAGTTGTCAAATAAAGGACTCAATGTAGTATACAATATAGGAATGTAGCTCTATTTAAGGATCAGCTTGTTGTTTAAAAGCAAGCTGCTAACATTTAAATAAAGTGTTGATATTGTTAGCARCACAAGGATCGATAAGCTGGAGTAGACTTGATGTGAGACTGAAAGAAAATAAGAAATAGTAATAAAACCATCATACAAAAGTAATATACATTCACAGAGGACTGAGGGAAATGTAACCTATTATTCAGGTACTAGTACTTACTGAATATGGTGCCATAGGTCCTATATAGTAGTTGTACCTCCGTAGTGCTTCTCTAATGTGCCATGGCTGGATGCAATCAGAACTGGTTTCCTGTAGAGCTGTTGATGAGCTCTGCATAATAGAAATCRTTGTGACAAACCAGAAMGAAAGTCAAAYTCAACTGTTACACCACCTWTAAACCTCTCCTAGCTTGCCAGAACCACTCAACAAATCTTTTAATATATTAAACTAACCTTAGCCTTGCGTTTCTTTGACTTTGACTTGGTAGATGTAGAAGTACTTGGTGTTGTAGATGTAGTACTGTGTGTAGGGCTTGGYAAGAATGGTAAGGATGYTGTACTAGTAGTTGGTGTTGTAGGTGTGCTAGGTGGCGTATGGTTAGGTGTTGTTGATGTTGTAGATGAAGAGGAAGATGTATTTAGTAGTGTTTGAATCTGTGGTAAACTAGATACAGTTGGCATGGCAACAGTCAGAGCATCTCCACCCTCAGCATCCTTTTTAACCAACAGTGCCAAGTCTACAAGCTGCAAGTAAACCAAGTTCTTGTTTAGACTCCTTTTGCAGGCAACTCTATTCCACAGCATTCCTGTGTTAAGGCAGAAAATCGGCTGGAGGGGGGGGGAGGGGTTAGAAAGAAAGGGAAAATCTCTTGGCACCAGTTTATCTCGGTAAGGGTAAATCAACACTGGGAGACCAAGGAGAGAAACAATCTGTTTCCTTAGGACTACACAGCGAAGGAGGCTATTTCTGGTCATGTATAAATGAGCTTTGTTCAAAGTGATGAATCTTAATTGAGCAGATTTCAATGCATATTTTYTTCAATATAGCATAGAATGTGGAAAGTGTGAGCTGCTGTTGAGATAGTCCTACGTAAATATAAATCAAATGCTCACCTGTGCGACAGTTTCATAAGCCAAGTAGCTGAAGATCTCCATGACTGGTGCATTGGGTTTCATGTCAATCARTGAGCCACAGTCTACCCATTCCTTGAATTTTCCTGCTTTTTTATCTTAAGGATAGAAATTTTCTGTTACTTATAACTTACTATTATGTTACATTTTTGGGTAAAAGAAGCTTCTTCAAATAAAGCCTGAGTATCRGTCTCTCTCTCAAAGGGGATTGGGGCARAATGACAGTTGCTACTCTGCCCAATCTCCTTTGAGAGAGCCTGATGCTCAGGGCTTCTACAAATACCACCATTACTTACTGAAGTTGGCTTGTCTGCACTCAATGTAGTCCAAATATTGCTGGTGGTCAAGGGTTCTTGATATTCTATCAGCTCTCTAGTTAAAAACAACAATTAAATACTGATTGACTATTGCTAGTTTCCCTAGTCCTTTGAGTGACACAGGGAACCCATTACCTCATTTCTCTCCTGCTTGATTTCATCATAGTCATCATCATCAAACAAAGATATCAAATCTCCTTAAAATACAAAATAAACCATACATTTATCTACTGTATACTCAAAAATACATTCTTTATATAAATATTACTGTCAGTTACATGTCTCCATTTATAATCAATTAAAGATCATTAATGAATTAATGATTAATCTATATTAATTACTAAGGAATAATACAAAATTAATTCATTTACCTGTATGGTCTATGGTGCTCAAAAAGTCATATGAAATTTTCCTTCTCTTGCTRCCYTTAAGCTCACTTGATGCTGAAAATACCATAAACCCAGTGAATGACCAGGTAATACATGCTAACKTGGCAAGACTTTGTACATATTCRCCCAAATCATCCAAATGTCCYAATTTTGACATTCTGGTCTGGTTGGATAGTCATGCACAACAGAACTGATCTGTACWCAAGGCGGTAGGGAAACAAAAAGATTATCTTCATTTYTTGTCACCCTCAAAGCCTCATTTTCAATTCTATTGTGAATGACGAGTCAGCCAAAATATATGACCTTTCATCATAGAATTTGACAACAAAATGAAGATTGTAGAGATTTGGACAACAGAGGAACATACCAGCAACATCCAGGACATCGTCATCATCATTTGACACCTGTTTCTGTGTYTTATTCTTCAARTCTTTGAATGTGAGGTATTTGATCAGCCTCTTTAGCTTGTCTTTGTCTCTTCTCATTAGAAACAGTACATCCTCCATACTCATAAACCTTCCTCCACGCATGTTTGTTACTTCAGCAGCTCTAATGATCTAAATTGAAACAAAGATATAGCAAGACTGTCTGAGTATTCATGCATCTCTGGATGTTATTAGAGGTTTTCTTACCATACTGGACATCTGTTGGTGAACTATTTCTTCTATAAGCACAGCAGAGTCTGGTGAAGGTCTTCTACTATCACCAAATGCATACCTAACAATTATAACAAATTTGTAATGAGGAGGGCAATGGACAAGGGGTGGGAGAGTGAAAGGAGGTTGTAAGAGGGGGGTAGGGTGAGGATTTTGCAAATGTCTTGTTGTGTGGTCCTTTCATAGATATGAAGGCTGTTTACTAAATGTTTTCATTGAGATTTTGGACAATTCTAATATAAAACAGTATAAAAATATAAATGTAAAATAACCTAATGCTACCTTGGAATATGAAGAATTAATGGGCACTAAGTATTAAGATAAATAATAAATTCAAGATGTCTTAAATTCCTGCAATTATCAATGAAACATTATGCAAAGTTCACTAGGCTTAGATAGTGTTATCTAGCTATATTACAGGCATTCAAATGATAAGCTGCCCTCCTTCTTAAGTGCGTGAGTGGTGTTAGTGATATGAAAAGGCCACCTAAGTAGTAAATCCCAATTAATTTGCAATTAAAAACTTGAAAAATAAAAGCAACAAATACGCARGAAAAAGAAAACCATGATACATCATAACCTAACCAACTATTATATGTATACACAGGGTTCCCAATCCTATTCTAGATGATCCAGATGTGCTCTATTTTATTTCAAATATTTTATCAATAGAAACAATTCTAACATTTTACAACAGGGGAATAAATGGTATTTCTGTGTAAATATTATTAGACTGAGTAGCTAACTATGATAAATCCCAAACAGGTTAACACTAATGGATTGCTTATCTGTAATACATTAGATAGATAAGTCGATAACCCGAAAAATACATTAATTTACTTATTGTCAGAGACTGTGCCACAAAATATAGATTCTGGCTAATGTTCCAGAAAAAGGWAYACCACAAAAAAAATATAATTCGAACTTTTCTTCCTACTATCCCTTGTCAGAATGTGTCTARATTTGTTGTTTTCATTGCTTGTATTGCACCTTATCCTTTTATATCATATTTTGGTTACATTTGGACAATGCTCTGCTAACTGTTAGAGCAAATAAGAAAATAAACCTTGGAGAACCTTTTGTAAATGACATCACTACCATGTGAGTTTAATTACAAGGTTTTTATATCTCTWAACTCAAAAGTTATCAATTGTGTGTAAAAAACAATACAAAGTAAAAGTGAGAATACATGTATAACTTGATAAAATCTGAATGCAAGTTTATTTGAAGATATTTTCCTGATAATTTTTAAGGAACTTTAAGCAACAGGTATYGAAGCAAGGATGTATTTTTAGAAACACCTACTTAACTCATTAGCAGCTTAATACATCATCACTGGTGATTTCATTGGGTTGGGTTCTAGCCCAAGCTAAAAAGTACATTTTCCCACCCTTGGGAGGCAAATTCATTAAGTCATTTAGTTATAGACACAGGAACTAGCTTAAAATAGCCTTGAAAGTCGTGTGGGCTGATGCTGTTTTTATGCAGACCAATAAATATAATATACAAAAGCAATAATTATTTATTGTGTTCTGATATTTTGGAATTTAAGTGTAACATTATGGACAATGTAATGTTTTGTTTGTTTTTAGTAGCAATGCTYATTTTAAAGTGTGAGAAATTACCATAATTACTGCATCTATTTAGCTTTAATTACACTGAAAACCAAAGTGTGACCCTTMGTGACATACAACTTTATCAGTCAGACATTGATGGTGTAAATTAAGGGGGATAAAGTCTATATCAAAAGTCTGGCTGCRAAGCAATACTTTCTCTACAAGTATAAAATCTTGAGTAAAGAGTTTAAGAGAGTATTTCTCAATACTATTTGTATCAATATATTGACCGCACTAACCACCAATAATAAACACTTTGTTGATTKTTTTTGGTATTCACATATTGAAGCAAGTGTATTAACCTTATCATTAATCTGTAAGAAGGTGACGTTTGAAATAAATTCATTGTTCTTGTCCAATCAGAGCAAAAAGAGTGAGTGGATTGTATAAGGATATAATTGTTGTCTACAATAGTATTAAATGGTGAAAAAGAAGGCATAGTTTTTGCACAGTAGACAACAAAAGGATTAAGTCACAATGTGTAATGTTGATTACTTGAAACCACTTAAAACAACAACCACAATGTGCCCTAAAATGTAAGTAAGGGGAAGTAACAAGATGTTATCCCGAAAAACCTCTCTTAAATTAATATTTTTTGAATAAATTAGGCTGTTTACCAGCTAAAAACAAACAAACAAAAGACAAAATAGCAACAGAGTACAAAAGTCATAAATTTGATGTAAATTTTACCACAACAAAGGACTTAAAATTGTTTTACATTGTTATAAAAACTTTTGGACAACTACCCTAGGCCATTTGTCCTGCCAATTAGTGAGATAACCTGTCCAACAGCACATAAACACCGAATTCAATTGTGTCGGCATTTTTGTGGCGGATTTTCTTTGCATTTGTAAGCGACTGCGGTCATTTCCGTGGGAAAAATGGTTGTTAGATTCATCATCAATTGATCACTCCGCTTTACTTCCGGTTTTCAAACKGCCAACAATTGTTGATCAACTATGCTTGATGACCTCAGCCATAGCGTTACGAACCCTATTGACTCTCAGGAAATCAACACGAAACGATAGACAATCAACCAGTCAGCCTGTTTTTCCGATCGGCTGAGCTCTGAGGAATAGAGCATGGAATTGTCACGTACGATGTTTCGGCGTGCGCACTGCGCCGTCAACACAACTTAAATCCACACGAAATTTTAGTCATCACTTGGAGATAACTGGCTGCAGGCCTTGTAAATGCGTTAACCGCTTGAACTGACACATGAAATAGTATTACCGTTATATTAACGATATGTCAGTAACGAGATATAACTCACACAGCGGACACGGAATAACAAATATGCGTCCAATTCACGATACAAATGGATTGTRAATACACGGTTAATTTAAGGCAATACTTACATCATACTCTGAATCTCACTTTGGAACCATACTTTTGGCACGTTTTTYGGAATTACGTTCACGGGACTCGGAGAAGCAGGCGTAAGTTCACTGCCCACGCTTGGAGGCTGAAAGAAGTCACAACAAGAAACCGGAAATGAGTGTTCGCACGAACAAAACAATACAGCATATCAAAGATATTATAATGACTCAATCTTTACTCCTTGTTTAATCCTTTTGATTGACTAAATATATCCAATAAAGAGTTGTAATCCTGAAAATACGATTCACAGGGGCTATCACCTCGCATCAATCCAACATGGCGGACATGAAWTYAACAAACAGCTGACCCAATTGTCCAAKTAATTCAATAAATTGTACCTTRACTTCGTTCGCATTTGCTGCTGAAGACGAATCTTTATTTTTCTCAGCTTTCTTGCTTTTTGACTTGGACTTTGTCATCTTTTATCCCATAAAAATCCTACAAAATTGAAAGTTTTAACTGCGAGCAGACCTAAACACTTGAATTTGTGAAAACCGGAAATGAAATTGCAAATCGTCACGTGCAAAAAAGCGCGGGAACCACTTTGGCCAATCAAAAGAGTTGTACTATCAGKGGCACGCTTCAATGAATTCACTTTAGAAAAAAAAAAAAAACAATGTAACACAACATTGTAGTATATCTGTTTGCTAAATTAAAGCTATTTTTAAGTTCAAGGAGAAAAGTTATGCATCGTTTTATTAGCAGGACATGATTCATTTAAGTTTAGTGCTATATTAAACGATCTTCATGAGATGTTATCAATTTTCCCGTAAATGGYTCTTGATCACGCACAATCAAACTTCTAGATATTTCGTGATTTTCACGTATACTGGCCCTTTGATCGCCTCTATTACTTATCATAAAGCCATTAATAACGTCAAATAGCCATCATATACCACGAAATCTTCGCAAAAGTAAACAAGTTTRTGTCGTGAAACTTGTCTACAACCCACGTGTGTCACAGTGTTTGTTAATAGGTAAAGGTAAGTCTATGCACGTTCCACTGAACGGTGAAACAAAGATCGCAGTGAAACAAGAAACCACAGGAACGCGCTAGAATCTGGCATAGGAATGTTAATTGCACGATGCTGATTGGTCAACAGGGATTTGTGGGCGGTGACGTTTTGTMGCAAAGAGTAAGATGATTGGATCACGCATTGTACTTCCTTATACGCAAACATGCTARCACAACATATGTCATTGTCGTCGGGGAGTGGTTGGCCCAAAGCATTTCACTTTATTTCACTATCCCGGCAGTGAGGTTCACACATAGTTCTAGAGGATCAGCATTGTGGTTACAACCGTCATACAAGCATGACCACTACGAGTGAAAGCCAGGGACCGCGCAAAATTAAGGGAGAGAGATCTCTTATTGAAGCATTATCCGAGTATCCYGGGGAACTTGTAAAGACTGATTCCCCGAATTTTGTATGTAGCGTGTTGCCATCACATTGGAGATGTAACAAGACTCTACCAGTTGCTTTCAAAGTTGTATCGTTAGGGGATATACCGGACGGGGTTTTGGTCTCCATTGCGGCTGGCAACGACGAGAATTTCTCCGCGGAGCTCAGAAATTGCACTGCAGTAATGAAGAATCAAGTGGCTAGATTTAATGATCTGAGATTTGTAGGACGTAGCGGAAGAGGTAAGTTTGAACTGATCATTTTGCTGTTGTAACGTGCGCGCACTTATACTATCCACATCTGAGTACTCCTAGTGACAGTGAATCACTATGCAAACGCTCAGCTGTTATGCTGATATCACGGCACCTTTTACACTCCGGAACTAAGCCATAAATTTATCCTTAGTTTATATTATGTCAAGTAGATGTTTTCTTACCCACCTGTGTTTTTTAGGAAAGACGTTTTCCCTAACAATAACGGTGAAAACAGACCCATTACAAGTCGCTACATACTGCCGGGCTATCAAAGTGACAGTAGACGGACCGCGGGAGCCGCGAAGTAAGTCTATAAAAACTTCATCTTTTTTTGCGTGTTTGCAAAGTGTACTTTGTGGTTTCACCTTCAACACTGCCAATGAACGTTTAGAATTTTTTAATCATTCTCTAGACCCTAGACTTTATTTATCCATAAATTGTGGTCACTTTATTCTCCAATATGGCATATTCTCCGCTTCGGTATGTTTACAAATTTAGGTCGACTTTCCCAGGTCAAAATATCCCTTTTTATCATCRGATTTCGATGATTTGATTTGGATATAAAATTAGGTTAAATGAAAAAAATCTGTTGGAGCTCCCTCGGCATTCAATTGATACTTTATAAAACGTGTTTAATTTCATTTTTAAAGGGATATGTCAGGCGTTTTACAACTAGAGGTTGACTTCGGGAATGTCGAACTTTAAGACGATAAAAATTGCGGGTTTGGTTTCTAAATTTGGGTGTTTGATGTGTGATGATTTTGTTTAGATTCACATATTCTCCTGGCTTTACCGCAAATAAACACAAGCAATGTTTACTAAATAGAACTATACGAATATACTACCCCGTAAAGAATGCCACGCTAGCGGGCAGTCATTTAGGTGATACGCGAAAATAGAATGAATGTTTAATTTCAAATTAATGATTTATCAAACACTCAGAGCCTATTGGCTAGCACGGTAATTGTGCTGATTGTCGTACCCTGTAGAAGCTATCCCTAACAGGTGCAGACAGCAGGTGAATTCAAAACAAAACGAAATGAATTCATCTGTCCCTGCAAGCTCTTMCAAATGCATTTGTTAATACAATAGAACTACTAGTTTTGCTAATCATACTTAATAACGACTGATGAAAGCTCATAATAGTGTTGAACATTGCTTTAGAAGTGTTATACACTCTTGTAAAGTAATGTAAATAGACAAAAGTGTGCCTACAGAGCCATGAGCAAATATGTCCTCTATTTCCATTAGCTCTTGGCAATGTGCAGTAATAAAGAGATAGTACAACTTAAACTAATTAAGCTTTTTTCATTTTATCAGATCTCTTTCTTATTGGGAAGTTCAATTTTCTTTCCAGTCTTCATAGCAAATTGAATTAGAAATCTTAATTGAATTATTTCTATTGTAATTGAGAAAACTTCTTTCCATTGGCTAAGTCCAAAATGTTAGTTCTGTTTTTGAGTCTAATCCCCAAATAAGATTCCCTATTTCTATAATACACATTAATTACATTGATTAAAGAGATTTCAACAAACTGCTTTACTGAGGCTTGTCCTGCCTCAATGGTTCTGTGTGAAACCAGAATTCGTATAAGTCAATTGAATCCAACCATAAGGATTGTGTTTTGAATTTATGGTTAGCAGTCATTTCATCCTCAACCCCCAACACAGAGAATTGTACCACCAAATCAAGAGAATCAGATCAAGCTCACACCATGATTGTGCAGATATCCCAATATGACAACCAGCTCCCGGTCTTTGTTTTGAAACTAGACATAATTCTATTTTATTGTATTAATTTCAAGAGTCTTACTATTTGTTTTCGACAAAATGTCTGTCAGATAAACAGTAATTGAGTCTTTCGCACTGTAGGATGTGATAAAATTTTGAATTTTTGATGATTTAAGTACAAGGCCACCTGCCACTGACTCAAATTCCCTCACACAAAGAAAGCACACTTCAAAATCATATATTAAATTGGTATTTACTTCTCATCAAGCCTAATACATCCTCAAGTTTATATCTAAGTATTGTTTTATATTTAATTCCTTTTTAAAAGAATGTTAGTTTTATATTTTTTTAAGGATTAATAGTGTAAAGTTTACCTTGAACCAACCACATTCCATTACTCTACATTGAACTGGATGTCTGACAACTTTKATGTCACTACTAAAGTTTACCAGCAAACCACACTCTGACAGAAACAAAACAGTCTTTCTCAAACCAAATTTATATGTCTATTCCTTCAAAATCAATTTATATAATTTAGGGATCATTTAGCTTTCTTAATAAGTATTTGAGTAGAGTTCACCTGCCTGTGGAAGAAAAGAAGGGTGTTCCACTGAAGCCACAGATAGCRCACAAGAGAATTACAACTGAGGATGGATTGAAACCACTGATTCAGATTCTATAGAAGGTTGATACCATTTAGGTCAACCAACAATTGGATTGATTTATTGGTGTTAGTTGGGTTACCCAAGTAGTACCACTTTCTAAGACAGTTATCTGTAGTTTTCACACAAAGTGCAGAAAGGCAACCCTGAACTGGTCAGGAAAACCACTTTATGGACAGTTAATACTGTAATATACTATACAATAACTCATGTTAACTCCCACTATATATGYGCCAAAGATCTAATATGCAAGTCTGTGTTAAGAGAAACATCTTCATTGCATTTGTTGCATTTTTTGGCTCTCTGTCCCAAGAAATTAGTTTCGTGTTTACATTCTAATGTTTTTTTRCAAATCTGTGCTTTGGCTGCACTACTTCAATACAATAAAAGGAGAAGTTTCATAGCTGATACCTTTGATATTAATGTTTTCATTTTTCTTTGAGCATGACAAAAGAAAACAGGTTAGTCCAAACATTAGGTTTGTTTAGTATAACAGCATTACAGATGTGAAAATTTAAGTTTTGTGTTTGTTAAATTCTTTTTTTTATCCCATCTCTCATTCAATATTGAATCTAAAACAAGTTAGAAAAAATGTGGTTTCAGAATGGTGCTGTAATTTCAATATTTAGAATGGAAACTTTGAATTAAATTAGCCCAAGTGTCAAATAACTAATGCTGCTTGTGAGTTTGTTGTTGTCACATCTTGCAGCCTGAGATACTTCTACACAGTGGTATTTGATTTCCTTATTGTGTTGTTATCAACTGAAGAATATTGTTTCAACTTATGCCATCGAGTGTCATTTCCTTGCTTAATTTAGTCTATTGTAGTACAGACAAGTCAAACTGACTCAGTCAAAAGACTGTTACAGGAAGCCTAACCCTTCCTTTAAGGAAAAACAAACTCAAGTCACGAAAATTATAACTTTAAATGTTTTTTTAAATGAAAATGATTATAATTTTCCTTAAACAAATGCCCCACCCTATGGAGCAAGGTTTATAAGACTGTAAGATATTCCATGAGATGTTTAAAACTATTTATGGATCTTTTTTATCTTTGGCACGTTCCTGTCATTCAAGAAAATGTGCAATCTGTGTTTCATATTGCAATGGTACCAAGTATTTTTATGCAAGCTGTGACACTGGCTACCAAAATCAAAAAGATATCATCTAAAAGACATGATTTGTAAAACGCTTAACAAAATGCCTTTCAAAAGGTTTTAGAATAAAAATTGTCAGATGTGTTTGTTAAGATTCCKATTTTTCTCTCAATTGTTTCTTATTTCACHTMAAAACATTTTCACATTTGGCGCAGAAACATCTTTATTATTTTTCTAAAAAGTAAATTTCGTATTGTCGCCTTATAAATGAAAGAAATTGTTTTTGTGGTTTTGAAGTAAATTTTCATTGCATTATTAATCTAAACTAACTTTCAAAGCAGCACCTCTCAAATCACTAAAATGGTCTACAAACTCTGCTTGTTAGTATTGGAACAACCATTGAACTCGCTGACACACGCCAAGTCGAACTTCAAAATTGAAGAAATTTTCTTAATCAATTATTTGCTCTTGTTATTATTTCAAGGATACTTTTATGTATTTTTAAACAAAATATGATTTAGCGGATTTAAAGTATGGTTTTATTACGATGTTTTTGATTTAAAAGCGTGTTAAAAGGGTGTTTTTTTATGAACTGGTACCGGGAAAGCTTTTATAAACAATGAATGATTGTCGCTCCTTCTGCTCGTGAAATCACCATGACGATCAAATACTGAAGGAATTCCAATAGTTGAACTACGTTCTTAAATACAAAAAAAAAACTACGTTTTTTTGAACAATACTTTGAAATAATTGTTCCTAGTTTTATGTGAAATAGGATTATTGTGTGGATTTAGGAGTTAAAATTGTATTTGTAAATGTTTTACTTTCTATCGAAGAACAGGCTTTGAGCAGCTGTTTGGCTAGTGTATGGTGATTATAACCGAATTGGAGCCATTATAAATTCGTGGGCTCTTAGCAGATAAAGATTAACAAAGATAAACGAACCATGATGACGGGCACTAGACTTTTACTAAAGAATATTACTCTATTAAATCTAAAAGCACACCTCGYCCGACATGCAAAGCTAAATAAACGAGTAAATAAAAGGAAAGAAAATTCAAGAAAGTGAACTTGCCTAATGAATGGGCTCACCGCAAAAACCGACGACGGTTGGCTTATTTTATCGAAATAGTGGTTTTACGCCAAAAACATACTGTATGTCATATGTCCGTSCATTGGGGCTTTGTGAGGCATTTTCGCATTGGGTAACCAAACTGAAAGAGAATAAAAACTTAAAAGAGGACAGCGGTCAGTCCATAGCGGCAAACTAATTGAGATTTTCAAAAGATTCGACGACTTAAAAGTTTGAAAATTCGGCGTAATAAATTCAGATAATATTCCAAACAGATGCTTCGCGATTGTTTATTTTGAGAATTTTGTTCACGAAAGTGCAAAAACATTTCTGATAAAATTGCTTTAAGCTTTCAGGAAGGGAAAGCTCAATGAATTGCCRAGTTGTTTCAGCAAATTTCGAGTCACAAGTTAGTCAGACGTTTGTGCGGTATTGCGCAACAAAAAGGTACTTGATGTTTCGGCGCTTTTTTGATATTTATGGCTTCTTCTAGTGCTTTTACGTGGTATTTTCCGGTATATTTTCCGTTGCGTGTCTGTATTTGGATCAACATTTAAAAAGCCGTTACGGAGATACGTGTAAGACGTAAATGAGTGACGGAAAGGACCTTTCATTTCCTATCCCTGGTTCATTTTTTTTACTCATATTAAGTTACATCCAAGACGATTCACCCCCAAAATACTCAAATTGTGCTATTGATAATTATTTCTCCGTTCCTCTTTTCGGATGGCATGAATCATTTCCTTGTCGTAATCATGAACAAGTTTTGTTATGACGCACTCGYAAGTAAATTGTAGGAGTATTTCATCACAGCTTGTCTCAGTTAATTCACAACCCACTTGAGATGTTTTTTTCCTGGTTGTAAAATGGTCTGTACAATGACGCATGCTTTTAAGAAATGTCAAGGCCTTGAAGTTCCTTGTTGTGAAATAAAGAAGCATTCCTGTTCCATTCCATTCTCTTATTAATGGCAGGCATGGTAGTCAGTATAGGTTTACATACCAACATTTTAGTGTCCATTTTGAGTAAATACTGACAAGAAAGACGCATTCAAGCAAAGAGAAAGTCAGACATCCTTTAGATTCATGCAACAACAGTAGTAAAGACATGTAGGATGTTGTCATTGCTGTTTCGTCCTAGAGCTGCTCATCACGATCAGCTCACTGAAAGTGCAGTACAAATGCAAAAGCTTAGTCGATTTGTTCATTTTGCACAATATTTTGCGAATATAACAGTTGATCATTCAAGTATTGAAGCTAGCTTGACAAACGGCGACGTTGGTCAATAAACTAACTTTACGSACAATACTCGTGTCTTTTTGTATGTATGAAATCTTACTCTATTAGCGCATTCGACCATAGACCTACCAACGTTTACCGAGCTTCTAATTGCTAAGGTTTGTGCGTTTGGCCTCAAAGACCTTGAAAACCAAACATTACTATATATTTCAACCGCTATACAACTTCAAAGGCTTCATGACACTTATGGGCTTGAAGCACAATTGGATCCGCTGTTGCAATCCAACATGTAATTGCTCGGGTTACTCGGGTTTGTATGTGGGTGCCTCAGGATCTGTAAGAACACATATCGTTCCATAACCTCGATTATGTACTATAGACTGCTAACACTACTTTATTAATACTCGGGCTTAAATACTCGTTTATAGCCCACGGAAGGTAGCAGTGTGGTATAGCTAATTGTTGGTTTGTACATAGTGACAGAAACCTGACCGTATCTCGACCACTTCATAGCTTTGAGAATAAAATCGATCGACACAAAAAGCATTGACGCTCTGCTTTAGCCCTCGGCAACCTTTCCACGGCATAACACCGAGTATAGCCACTTGCATATATGCAACTACACTACACAAGTCGCTTTTAAAGTTTAAGAATCGATCGAAACAGAGCGTTGTAACTCTTCGTTTCCATTCAGCGAACTAAATATGGAAACTTTTACAAACGTGGACAAATCATGTAGAAATGCCATTTTAAATATCTGCTTTTTGCCTCAGTTCAAAACCACTCATTGCTTCATGTACGACAATGGAACTACTTGAATAGATAGACCTAATACAAGCCCATTGTATAATTGTTCAGGTTTCTGCGTAACCCCTCAAATCAAACATATCGCAACACAACGACCGCTTCATATTACTTGTRCTCTCTGAATCTTACGGTTCTCTGCTTGGCCGGTTTGCGGTTGTAAGACCAACACGGTACAAGTTCCGATTAGCTTCATAAACCAAAGAAAAAGTCATTATTTAGCCAACCGCTATAGACGAAGAAATAAACGTTGATAGCGTAGTGCTAAACCACAGTTTTCGTCGTGAATAGTCAAGGAAAGACGATCGCATTTTCTTATCTTACCACTTTTAAGGCTGTGGCGACTTTTACTACACCCCAAATTACTGTCGTATAACCCTACATTGTGGAGTTTTCTCCGCTTTGTTGTATACGACAAACCCCTAACCGTATATGCAGTAACCTTGCGGGCTTAGTAGCCAACTCGAAAATCGTTTCAGTAAACTCGGAAGCAAAAAAATGAGGCTTTGGTTTTGTATTGTTGAAACGAGTTTTCATCAGGGAATGTTTAACCAGCTAAATATAAAATAAAGGAATATGGCGTGCGTTTAATGTTGTTTGGACTACTTGCTACTAAAAAGATACTTTGTTCTATAATATACAAATATATGTACTTTGACGTTTTGTAAAATAAAATAATAGTTTTATATTTGTTAAGTTTTATTTCGCATTTATCAGGGCACAGAGCGAGAACAGACGACAGAGATCCGGCACATGCCTTCGACCAATACCCCTTTTCCGATCGTCTCTCGGAGCTGGGTTTGGAAGGATTCCGACGCATMAGAGACCAATCCTTCCCGCCTTTCGCTGAACTTCATCCTTCGCCCTTACAACAGACAAAAATAGCCCCCGATGGCACATCTGCTTTCAGTCCACTCGGTACAGGTTAGTCAAATTATTATCCTTTTTACTTTATTTAAAAAAATAATAGAAGACACTTTCAATAGAAAATTAGCTTTAGATTTACTGCTATTGTCCTAAGGTGTTCGGCTGTTGAATGTGGCGCGTGCCGGCTTTATACAAAAGAAACAACAGAAAATTGGATTGAACGAAAATTTTCCCTCTCCTAGAGATGGTTAATTTGGAGYAGACATTTTCATTACTGAAACCATCTTGAAATTTAACTCGTTTTAGTTTAATAAATTAAAACTCTGTCTAATTTGTGGATGTTAAAAACATTTGCTATTTGCTTGGAGGTTCTTTCTCTTATGTTTTTCAAGTACTAATTAAGACAAATTGAGTTAGAGATTTTATTTACTAAATCGGAAGGTTTTACTTTGTGTTTATACTCCGTTGGCGTTCACACGCGGAAACTAGAGTCCATCGGAATGGGAATGTTTCTTTTCCTAAATACTTTAAAATGACATTAAAAAGGATGTTTATTCGTTAAAGAGATTATTTAAATCACCTTTTAGAAGCTAATCATAAGAAAACTTTTGATTCAATTATTATTTCTGTCGTTTTATGAGTTCTTATGCTTAGATGTGTCGGTAATTGGACTATTTTCAAAGTCTATTAGGACATCGCTACAAAAACGTGTTTCAATCATTATTTTTTCTTTGAACAGATGGCGCGCGCTCTACATCTCCTTGAATTTACGTCCAACATTGATTTTAATTGCATTCACGCAGTTGGAACGATTGTGAAAAAACTCTGAATCATAATAATGAATGAGGACATAAAGCTTTCATTATGTTGTCCTGAGTCTAATCCCAACTGAGTACATGATAAATATTTGATTATGAGGAGAGTCAAGCGAAAATGTGAATTTGAATATTTTTARCGGTAGGAAGATGGTTCTTCTTTAGAAATCTACTGACTCTTTTACGTAAATGTCTTCAATAAAAATACTCTCTTTAGTATTATGTTTGGCTATTCATTTATATAAGCTATTAGTTTATCTGAATTTCTGAATTAAAAAGGAAAGATAACCTTGGAAAACATCGTCAGAAGTGCTTCAATGACAACAGTGACAAAATTGGACAAATTCGCTTGTGCTAAAGTTTAGATTTTAAACAATATTATTTCAATTTGCACCGAAAAGAGATACCCTTCACTGAAAGATGTCTTAAAAGTATAAATCTAAAAAGACAAAAATAGAAAATAAGGTTCTTAAATTAGATTTCAAGCTCGACTTACATGTATCTTGTTTCTTGTTCAGTTTCGCCATTGTTTGGGAAAGAAAACATGCTTTGTTCATGCATTGAAGTTTTCTCGATATAATCCTTATCTGAAAGACATCTTAAATTTCTTTTTAAGTGGACGACATTGCGTAAAACACTCATGTTTCGGCATTGCAAAGCCATTGCACAAAGAACGCTCTCGCAAAATGGCTGCTTTTATATATGTGGTACGTTTACACTCAATTTACCGCCAAAACCAGCACGCGTGTCCATCTATTCATTTCGCGCCATTTCTTGTCAAAACTCTTTACCGCTTGTTGTTATTTTTCTCGACCAAAATGATGAACTCCTAACCAGTTTGGCAAACCGAGATTTACACCATTTGAAAGACGAAATATAGTTGCGTTTTAATTTCTGAATCTATAGAAGTATTTGTGGTAAGCTGAATGGTTTGTCAGCTAATTTTCACGTGAATCTACTGGTTAGTCGAGGTTAGCCATATTCGTTGTGCTGTGGCCGTATCGTTTAGATAGTTCGGTTGGGTTTTATTCACGAAAACCAATCGTTTTTCAATGAATTGAGGTTTAAAAGACAGAAAAATGAGTCTCTTTTAGAAGAACACATGTATTTTTACTTATTTTATTTAAACCAATTCATGTTACTTGATATTTTGAGTTGTTTTTCGACTGAGGGAAGCTCGCAGGAAAACAAAGGGCAAATATCGACAATTAGATCAGCAGCACTCAAACGGAATTCAACAAATACAAGCCCACCGAGAGAAATCGCGGTTATGGCCACTGATAAACGAAGATATGACATAGTAACTTTTTAATTTCTTTTTYATTTCCTTTAGATCCTAATCAGATGAGATCACCATCGTCGTGGGGCTATCATGGCTTCCCGGGACTTATTCCCGCTCCTCAACCAGACGCTAGTATGAACTTCTCGGCGCTTRCACAACTGCCGCAAAATCCTCTTCAAATCCCCAAACCTCCGCAGACAGTTAATCTACAAAACACAACAGCAAATATGCCCGTTCTACCTCACGTTTACCCAGACCCTCGATTCCAAAACATGACACAGTTTCAGTTTCGATCAACGGCRAACCAAACAACATCGACAACAAGCCAAATAACGACAACAAGCTCMGGAATAAACACATTTAATCAAATGAGTCCCATGTGCCCGCCCAGTCAAATGGAGCCGAGCCATGGAATGTTACCGGGAACATGCGGACAACTAAACGCACCGACYATGAATGGTCTAGTAAACGGACAGTTTATGAGTACAATCAATTCATCTGTKAATAATGGCGTCGTTAATAATGGTTTGGCGTACAGACCACAGTCATATCTCCCTCAACCACCCATGACTACACAGAAATCAAACATGCAGCTATCACAGCCAACATATTCATCTGGACCAGAAGGACCTCCCAATGGGATGACATTTCCTATGGGAAGAGCGGGGATGATTCCTATGATGAGTCAGAGTATGGGTGTGTCTACAATGGCTCAAGGTTTGAACACGTTTTCGGGGTTCCCGACACCCCCTCGGTCGGAGGACCAGGGACTGGGACTAAAACAAGAGCCAGTTGATGGCGTTACAGATCTTTCGAATCACGTGATGACTCAAGGGATTGCTGATCAYGTAAATAACAACACTGAAGGAGTACTAACAGAACGAAATGGTCGATCTGCGTCGCCCAAAGTATGGCGGCCGTACTAGTCACGTATAATTTATTAATCAATAGCGTACTAAGGCTTGAAAAGCCCAGGAACTACACTGAAACCTCCGTATTACGAACACCCACAATGTAGATATGTCCGTAATAAAGAGGTTTTCGTGAGAGGTTTCTGTGCATTACGTTACCGTTACTGAAAGGAATCGAAACATTTTGAATGAATCGAGAGTGTTTGAAAAGCGCTCGACTTTTTGTCTTCAAGTAATATACGACAAGATTCTTTCAATATAGATCTGACACAGTAAATTCAACATTGTTTCTGTTAAGTACGACGCTCTTGATCTGGTTAAAGCACTAAAGTTCGTTTTATTGGACAAGGAGGATCATTCGCGTTAACTTGAGAACCAGCAAYTTAGCGCCATTAGCGTGGCCTTGTTCGGACGCCAAACCTTTTYCGTGTCGATTAGATTTTAAACAATAGTTTATCAGGCGGACTTCCTTTGGGTATTAAGAATCGACCTGGGAAATGTTCGATGTCTGAACAAGACCTCAGATATCTTTACAAAGAAATTAGTAAAAACTGTAAAAAGTGAAGATTATTTATTTCCCAAGATGCAACTTGGGCTCAGAGGCAATAATATAAAGAAGGCATAAGAAATTTTAGCGATGTAAGCCTCCGTCCACCACTGGTCGAGTCCATCGATTATTATTACAAAATGTCAATTAGATATCAATGCATTTTGATATCTTTACATGRCATATAACAAGTTATTTATGAAGCTTCAAAAGTTATTTGAAAGGTTATTTTATTTGATGTAAATTGTTATACTTTTGAGTAAATGTTGAATAAGCATGCGCGAAATTAAAATTCAACATCCAGTGGTTGCTTTGCGTTTTCAGTATCCTGGCACCTTTGTACTGTCATGGCACCTTTGCACCTCAATGAAAAAAATARCAATACAATATCTCAAAATGAAAGTAAACACAATTCTTACTGATTTTATAAAATTCTTCCTAATAAACTTAGGTTATAGTATATCTAAACTAATAGCGTAAAAAGAGCAGCGTTGCATGGTGCCGATTGGATTTCAAAAGTGGTTGCTTTGYACTCGAGACTGGCACGTTTGCGCTATCTTCAATGAAAACGCTATAAAAGACATTTAAACTTCTGGACGATAATTTAGTACCTTTGGACTTCTATTAATTGCAAGTTTCATACTATAGATGTAAAGCATATATATTGTTCCTAAATAACCAATACTTATACCAACCATATGTAACCATATAGTATAGCATATTTTCTCTTTAAATAACCGATAAAATACAGCGATTTAGCTGTAAAAACATAGTATATATATATAAATATCAATTATTAGAACAGCTTTGTGCACCATATACATTCTTAAACTGTTAATGCATTGCATAACGACACTATAAACTGTATAATCAAATATAACTATAATATGTATTGATTTTGGGTTTAAAAATGGGACKTAATCGTTGGTTTTGACAACGTTTCTCATTTAACCATAGTAATTATTAAAATGGCTGCAGGCCAGTTGAAATCTTAAAGTTATTCACAATAAACAAGAAAAWTAAGAATYAAATTCTCATATTTCCTCACAGTACATGTCTTAAAATTGAAGACTGGAAGGTCAATGTTTACAACATTTGTCAGTATTTTCAAAAGTTGCGCTTCGACCCTTGAAGAATKAAAAATATGACAAAAATTTTAAAAACGCTAGGAGTGTCAAGCAAGASTCTATGGTTATTATTCTATCAGATGCTAAATACTTCAATCGTGTACCATTATCTTTATCAACTGATTTGCACTTCTTGTGAGTCCAGCCCTTAGTATTGTTCCAGAATGAAGTACGTAATTCATTTTATTACTGGTCGACAATATTTCTTAAGGGTATGGATYAACTCCTTCAACAGTTCTAAGTGAAAAATAGTGGATAATTACGTRGTTGTCGTCGTTCTCATTGCGATGCACAAGATCAAAACATGAGAGAATGCGACCTTTGCATGGAATTCGGAAACTGTTCGGGGTCAATACGAGTAGGTATAGAGGTCCAATGATACCACAAATAGATACAATATTTGTTTTATTGGCCCAATAAAATCGTCATAATCGGTTGATCCTCGAAAGGACTCTCTTCTACCACTTGTTGATGTCTAAGTTAACAATATCGCYACCATTTCAGTCTGTCCGTGARTCCWTTACTTGCTCGGCGCTGACAGAATTATTGTAAGRTCTATAGTTCTTTTTTKGACTTGCCACGCCCATCAACAAAATGTTGTTCATATTCTTAAAAGCAACTATCTCATCTTTGTTAATTGCTGTTTGTCAATTTACAATTTCCTTTTATGAGCTTTARAGTGATAGGGGAATTGGGGAGGGGCAGATTACAAGGGTCCTATTCAAATCAATTTAAGAATTTGCTAGTTGATGATTGAAACAGARCCCCTAACTTATCTGACAGATTTTGATGGAAATGTTTCAATGTTGAAGCAATAAATGCAAGTGCTAGACTGATTACTGGAATAAAAAGTCTGACTTTTTCATAGAGATGACAGTTGKGGCATCAATCAAACTTTAAAAAAGTCTTTTAGGCCATCGTCACGTTCGTAAAAAGTTCAAAGGTTCAATTGAACGTGCTGCTTGAAAGGAAGGGAGTATTCAATAGTTTAACGGATTTAGAATAACTAAARTTGTGTATCTTATATTTATACAGTCTCAAGTTTAAAGTGCATAGGACATACAGCATTTTTTAACAACATGACATTTATGAAATTTTTAAAACAGTGAGGATTGCTTTGRTTATTGTTGTTGTTTTTGACTGTGTTTCTGTGGTTCCCTTTCTGTTTCTTTCTTAAATTTCGTTAAGTCGGATTTGAATATATGTACCGGCATTTTATATACATTTTTTTTACATTTTTTATACGCATTCGATTGTTAGTTTGTTGGTCGTGTTTTTACGTCCACCATTGATCGGAACTCAATAGACGTACAAGAGATATGCAAAAGAGTGACACTCAGCTTCCTACTAAACGATGTGAGTCCAGAAGATAGTTCTCACGGAAAYACAGCAATGTAAAATAGAACATTAACCGGCGACAGTACTAAGTATCTAGGCACCTTAATACTTGACATTTTCTTTCTTTTTTCACGAGCTATTAGCCTCAAATAGGTTCCATCTTGTTGATGTCAACTGACAATTACCCGGAAACCCAATCAACYAGCAGCAAATGTGTGGTTTAACGGCTGATAAAACACAATGTTTTGTCAATAGGACCACTATAAGGTTTCCCAAGAGATACAAGGAATTAAAACTGTCTAGTCGTAAAGTCACATTCGATGAAATGTCTGCTTATCTAAAGTGTTCTCCGTGTTATGCTCTTCTAAAAGAGCGTTGGAAGAGACATAAAAAGAGCTTGTCCAATCAATGAACGACAATTCAACGAGCATATAGCACAATTGTATAGCACTTTTTATTTTGAAAGGCAATTTCATTGGAGTTTTCCGCTGACAAAAATGGCTAATCTCAATTTTCGCATCTTTTCCASTTTTCAGAATAGCAAAATAAAAATGTTTTTTCCTGTTAGTAAATAGGTGGAAAATATTCTTAATTTTTTTCCCTATTACAGCTGTGCTCACTAAGTCGTTTATTAGTTTTTTTTCGCTAATACTTCCACCAATTCAGCTTTCTATTTCAATTAAAAACATTCCAGCTTTCGATATAAGACGGTCTTTTAGAAACATSAAGCTACTGAAAACAAGGACTCAAATGTGCCTTGAGGCAGGGACTGAAAACCAGCTTTATTTTTAGCGAAAAGGAGAGGTGAAAGTTGTACTTCCAAAAGTAATTAGTATGAAGAATATTATTTCAAATGAACACCACTAAAAGTCAAAACACGTTTATAAACCCAAGAATCGAAACTAACGTGACGCTTTAGCTGCTAGCAGTATCTCAAGTGCAGTTGTCTAGGAAATCTTCTTAACATCCAAGTGATCAACACAAGAAGTCGGATTTCTAGCTAACATTACTATCTCTTTCAAATCGCAGGAACCGCTGTTTCCTGTACTGAAATGAGCGCTAGGCAAACTGCCCAAGACGTGGGGTGTTAGGCGCCACTCTGATCTTTTCTGGGCCGACGGCCTGATATTGTTTACCCCCTTGGGAGTGACTTCAACTATGATTTTTTCTTTAATCTAAAAAGTTTAGTTTTGTTTTTACTTTACTGTCTAAAGTTTAAGTTAACCATGCGTTAGAGTCGTGCTGAATCAAAATGGCGTCCTGGTTTTGTATAGTAAGTTGCCGTCTTTACAAGTATTACCCAGAAACTTTAATAACGAAACTTTAAACCTATTTCATGAATTAAAGTGATGTTTTTTATCAATTTTAGAGTTACTTTCTTTCATGAAAAATAGCTGCTTCAACAGACGAGCGATATTGATGTTGTTTTAGTGATTATGAGAAACGGGATATGACGAAACGTACCGTAACGGAAAGCGTGGTAGCACGTTCACTCACAAAAGGTTTTCAGTTGATAAAACTTGGTTTTGATTCTCTTGACATCGTAAAATCCCCTGTTAGCATTTCGAGACAGAGGAAAAAATCAACCAGACAAGGTTAAACAAGGCACATCTCAGTTTATTGGGCAAAGTTGATTCACTAATTTTCAGGCGTGGGAGTACAGCCCGAGTAGTGAGAATGAAACTTAGGCATGCCGGCGGATACTAGGTATTGAGGTATTGTTGAAGTCGATCAGCATGATCACTAGAATCTCTAGAGTCAAGTTAAGGACAAAGCTGGCACACTTTACCACGCTACAGCTGTACATTTGTAAGTTAGCCATTGTCTTTAAAGACTGGAAACCTCAACCGTCGATACAACCTTCTCAATCGATATATTACAAGCATTTTAAAATGGACAATTTTGATAGTGTGTTTTTGTGTTTACTGTTAGAAAGGTAAAGTGTTCACGATAGATTGATAATAATGTAGGCGTAATGAAGCTGTTTAACCTTGGCAAGATATCATTGATTGACGCTGTTGTTGGTTCTCCGTCGACGCTCCACACCTTGAATGAGCGCGACGTACACGATGTAACTTAATTTTTATCTTATTTTTTCGTTTCTGTTTCAAAGATTGAGAGACAATTAGACATGTTTTAAKCAATTGTTACTGTTCATTTGACTAAACATCCCATTACAATAGGTTTTCTCAACACTTTTATACAATTCTTGATATGGGAGCTAACTAAACATGCCATTTTGAACTGAATTACAAATGTTATTTGATTATTTCAAATGCAATTTAAGCGACCGTGTACTTTATCAACAAACCGATTAGATAAATTACAGAGTGATTACCAAAGGAGAGCAATTAGAAGCCATGGGCTGACTCAGCTAATAATATAGATAACYAGTTGTATCTCAGCATGTCTTAGGGAGCTAAAGTGAAGGAATTGTCCAAGCAACCATTTTTTTATACAGTGATAAAACAGCTGTTGCTTCTCGTTTTTTCTTTCGTTTTCATCCTAATTAAGTTTTCTTTACAATTGATTGAAAGTACCTAAAGTTTTTCTAGTTTTCTTTCAAAATAATTTATCTTTCTGTTATCTGTGTTGTATTTTGTATTTGATTTATTAAATTCACATTGAAATTAGTCACACTAAAATTTGACTCAGGGGACTCATTCTTTAAGAACAGTATCGAAACAGGAATGTTTTGTGAAGCTCATTGAATGTAATTTTTTTCTCGTTTCAGACGTATCGTTACTTCTAGCTAGTCCCGTGATTCTATAATTTCAATGATTCCCTCATTAGACATAAACTGAAAGTATAGAACACTGGACATAAGTCACAACTGATGCTTTCATGTGAGGTTGATGAGGTTTTTCTAAATATTTTCAGAGTTGCATTGAGCATTCTTTTTACCAGTAATTTATCATACATAATACTAGTAATTTACTATTAGATGGTACATTATATAGATATATTCACAGAACRCTTAACATATGATATGGTAAACTAGTGGCTTTCCACCAGCATATTTCATATTTCTTGTATAGTTAGTCGGTCTCTTCGTTATTTAAGTTATTACGTTCCAATCTTAAATCTCATTCTTAGAGTGTGATAATATCGCTGAAAGCCTCTTCTGAGGGGCACAATGAAAACATTTATAGTTCAGCACAGTTTAGATGTAAATAAAATCATTTGAATCAAATAGAATGATATAATTATTTAATACAAAAATGTGATTTTGTTGAAGATGAAAGGGACAGCTAAGAGAGGAAGGAAACAGAGATTGAAGTAGCTAAATAGAGATGAAAGCAACCAACTATATAGCTTCAGGGTAAAATGTTGACAAAAGCCTTCACAAAACACAGACAATGTAACACTCGCGGTGATCAGAAAAAGATATTTGCATACCTACATGATTGCAATAGATAGAATGTTAGTTTCAGAACACTTGATCAAAATTAAACAGAGATAATATAACTTGTGTGTTGATGGTGTAGTATCAATATTCATACGCCCTCAGTTGAATACTAAGACCTGTGTAATACACAATACAGTTGCAAGTGATACCAATAAATGTGTTTCTTCTGTTGGTGTCTGATCATACATTCTASAACAACCAATCAAAAGGTACACACACTAAATTCAACTTTCTGCAACTCTACGCTGAGGGTGACTAAACCATCGACGCCATGAAGCCGCATCATGTGAAGGTCGTTATAAACGGCAGCCAATCGCGTGTCCTTGTACMAAYRTGGAACTGAAACTCWGAAAAGATTTCATCGGGGTGTGAAAATTCAAATGAAGTTTCAACAACAATTTCTTCGAGAAGTTTTGTATTCTAAAACTAAAGCAATATGAAAACAATTTGAATATCTGTTGTACTGACAAAGGCCTGTAGACTTTCTTTGTGAGGTAACGCTGAAACAACATCCACTTTSTCCATCTGCGAACGATTTCCTAGAACGTTTCAGCGAAAATGTTACAGTAGAGAAACAAGAAAATCCGCCATCATGAGGTTCAGTTTCTTGTCGAGCTGCCAGGGGACTGTAACGTGTAGTCGTCTAGGATGAGAAGCTGAAACAACAGTCACTTGGCGAGTGATTTAGTGCGTCTCAGCATAGTTAGTAACTATATGGTCTCGGTAAGTTTTTCATTATAAAACTCACATGACTTGCACGTCGCTACGGACTGTTTTGATCGCACCAACATGGTATAAAATCGTCAAAGAGCGGTGGTTACTGTCATACAGAGAATATACGTTACCCAGCAAGATRGCCACTGTCCAATTTCAATTGCAGTGTTTTAGGTTTCCACCCAGTAATGCCTATTGATTTTTGAAGTTTCTCTGTAACGACAGATGAACGCGGTTTGAAACCAAGCTGAGATGCCAAGGAACCGGGAACGTTAGCGCTCTTGCGGTTTACCTCATCGAGTTTCAAGAGTTTGAATAAAAAGATTTTAAGAAATCGTTTTACAGTGATTGATAAAGAGAGTGATTTACAGAAAGAAAACCCTGTGATTATATGTCAGTACATCGAAATGGCAAAGAAATGGTGTATAATGAACCCCTTTCACGTGTTAATGAAAACCCGGGTCAAAAAGCGATTTATGACAAACTTTTCCATAGCACGATSATCAATAYYATAAAACAATGTCAATAGAAATGAGCAAATAATCAAAAGCAAACCACACACAGAAAAATAAAGCAGAGAAAGATACATTTTACTTCAAATTCAAACAAATTAAGCTAATTTGAGTTGAAGTTGATTGCAATATTCTGCGCACACATTCCTAGTGACCAGCGGCTTGTAAAAACAAACCGTGCGCAAAGCTATGACCTTAGRACTGTATTCCACTCATTCCAAAGCGTAAGGGCGGTCCTTTTTCCTTATTTGTACATTAATGGYGATATTTTGATAACCTTAGACGTGTTCAAAACATAGATAAGAGATGTGACGTCAGGTCACGAGATTTCCTGGTCTGATGACCAAATGTTTGTCAGTTGAGCTCTCAAAATAGCATCAAACTGACAGCGCCTCGTTTTAATTAAAAAACAACTCTTCAAACTGCCATTTCCTTGTCGGGAATGTCAAGTGAATGTCAGCCAATCAAATCTCTTCTTTTTATTCCAGTAAACTATGACATAACACTGAAAGGGTAACGCAACATCAATGACTCTTCGTATYGGTGCAACGGGGGCAAAAACAATCACCAGCCAATCAAAAGATTTCTTTAGTTAAAGGGAACTATGACGTAATAGGAAAATGGCTTTGGTAACTGCGGTCAGGTATGAGTGTGCAACGGAAATCTAAACAATGGCGATATAAAGGTAATCA